CGGAACCGATGCCTAATATTGATGATATCTTTTCTAGACTTGCTGGACATCAGCTGTTCTCCCGACTTGACCTCAGCAAAGGGTATTGGCAGGTGCCGATGGAAGCGTCGTCAAAACGAAAGACAGCCTTTACAACTCCTGTTGGGTTATTCCAGTTCACAATGATGCCCTTTGGTCTGGTCAACGCCCCTGCCACATTTTGTCAATTGATGAGAATACTTCTCAAGGGAATGTCAAACATAGAAAGTTTCCTCGATGATATATTGATATATACGCACACATGGGAGCAGCATGTCGTGGTTCTTCGAGATCTCTTCGAGAGGCTTAGGAAGTCGGGAATCTCGGCAAGACCAACCAAATGTGCACTTGGATACAGAAGTCTGGAGTGTTTGGGTCATATGGTGGGAAATCAACGATTACTTCTGAACCCAGACAAGGTAAACGCCATTATTGAAGCTAAACGTCCAGAGACCAAAACTCAGATGAGGTCTTTTCTTGGACTGGCAGGATTTTACCGGAAGTTCATCGCCAACTTCGCGGCAATATCAGCTCCTCTTACTGATTTGACAAAGAAGGAGGGAGCCGCAGGAAATTGCGTTCAACACATTGAAAAAGGCGTTGTCTAGCGAACCGATTTTGAAACTTCCTGATCTTGAGGCTGAATTTACACTCCGAACGGACGCGTCAGACTATGGGTTGGGTGCTGTATTGCTCCAGAAAGAAAATGAAATTTCATTTCCCATCGCGTATGCCAGCCGGAAACTGAAACGAGCGGAACAAACGTATGCTGTCGTAGAAAAGGAATGCCTCACTGTAGTTTGGGGAATCGGAAAGTTCGAGCGGTATCTCTACGGAAGACCATTTGTACTTGAGACGGATCATCAACCTCTTGTCTATTTGAACAAGATGAAGGGAACAAGCTCCCGATTGATGAGATGGACACTCCTCCTGCAGCCATTCAGATTTACAATCCGAGCTATACCGGGAAAGGATAATGTTGGTGCTGACTGTCTAAGTCGACTTTGAATTATAGTCAGATATTCCAACATGGAAAGCTATGGATCCAGTACTGAAGACCTTGCCTAGTTTAAAAAAAAATGGTTTATAGAAAAACATTCTTTTTTTTTCTTTTGTGGGGGCATATGTAACAAGGCCTTCAGTTCAGAATGTAATTATGCATGTATATAAGTTTTTTAAGTTTACCGCCATTCATTAACTTCAAATAACGCACCTGCGTGCGTGATCAGCCGAGATTTAACCAGAGGCGGACATATTTGACAATAGCGGGTGCATGTTTTCTTACAAGAACGCAAAAGACTGCTTGCGGTGAGTTTCTACTCATATATAAGATATTTTATGTTGTACCGTTCTTTATTGTAACCGTAACTAAGCTGCACACACTGTAAATATCAAATTGTGCCTTGTAATGCGTTCTATATGAGGCGTACAGGTGTGTTATTGTTTACATACAGGTGTGACATTGTTTACGTTCAGGTGTGCTACTGTTTAAAACTGTTGATAAATAGTTATTTGATAACCAATTGATTATGATAAGTAATCTGGATTTAGTACATTGTAGATTAGGGAATTTAGAGCATTCGTTTGTGAAATTCACGTGTATATATATTTCACCCCGCTGGAAGGTTTAAATATTAAGGTTGCTTGACTGGTGTTTTTGTGGAAATATTTTCAAAGTTTAATTTCAATTATTATTACATTCTTGGGTTGAAACAGTGTCTTCTTAATATTATTCATAAGGAAATGTGCTAAATTTAGGCATTTTAAGTGATTTGGGTACAATTTTGTCTGTTGTAGTTTGAACCTAGCACATACCCACCCGTTCGTAAATTCCCCTCTCATCACTACTTTGGTGGTTACGCTCATGAACCCCACTGTTGGGAGCTGCATTATTCTTTGTGGATGTAGTTTCACTGCTATTGGTGGATCGTGGAACTGATAACGTCATTATGTGACATTGTAACTTTTCCTTTGTGGAAGTGTCTATGCTTTGGATCCTCTGTGGATGAACTGAAACTCATGAGTGTGTGGACCTGTGTGGATACATAGGTGGACTGTACCTGTGGGACTGTCGGAACTAAGACAGAGTCAGGAATGTCCAAACGAACTGTTGTAGATATAGTGTATAGTCTAGTGTAGATACTTGTAAAAATTGTGGTATTATGTGCATAATGTAAATATATATTGTAAAAAGTGTATATCGGTGTTCGTCTCTTTTCTTGTTTGTATGGCAATATACTCGTCCCGTTACACATAGTCTACATTTGGGGGATGTAGGAGAGTGTGTCAAATACACTACATAGTCTACATTTGGGGGATGTAGGAGAGTGTGTCAAATACACTACACAGTCTACATTTGGGGGATGTAGGAGAGTGTGTCAAATACACTACATAGTGTGTATTTGGGGAGATGTTGGAGAGAGTGTCAAATACACTACATAGTGTGTATTTGGGGGAGGGGGATGTAGGAGAGTGTATCAAATGCACTACATAGTCTGTATTTGGGGAGATGTTGGAGAGAGTGTCAAATACACTACATTGTCTATATTTGGGAGATGTAGGAGAGTGTGTCAAATACACTACATAGTCTACATTTGGGAGATGTATGAGAGTGTATCAAATACACTACATAGTCTACATTGATTATTTGTTGACAAAGATTTTGAACTGAGTGATTTGTTGAGAACAAGTTTATTTTTTTAAGATTGGAATATTCTAATGCCTGCAGTAACTGGTGATACAGAATTTCTATAATATTCCTTCATTTAGATTTATTTGAAGCAGAAATTCTTCTTTAATATGATGTACATAGAAATGAAGCATGACATCACTGCTCTGTCAGCAGATATGCGTTATAATGATAAGTTGTACAAACATACTTTACACTATAAAAAGGCAGACTCCAGTCAGGCTTGATGTTTCCTTTTATGTTATAAGGTTAAGTATCGTTTTTAACAGTCAAGGTTATGTGTAGGAGTATAGTTTAAGGTAAACAAGTAGAGACTGTAATGATGATGATAAACCACACACTTTTAAGTACTAGGTATATCATGTTAACAGTTAACATAATAGAATGATATGATATGAAAAGTATATTTGTACTTGTGGTGAAGGTCAGACTTGGATTGTAAGCTGGTATTATAGGATGTACATGATATGGTCAAGGTTGAGGACAGCAATAGTGATATGTTACTAAGTAATGATCAACAGTCACTGATGTGACACACTGATAGTCTCTTCACATATTGCTGAGTCACCTGATGCTGTTAAATTGAAGGGGCAAATACATTCCCTTTCTATCTATGTATAGGGTTAAAAAATGTTCCCTTTTCAGCTGTCTACATGTGATGAAAGCACCTTTTTCTGACTTTCTACAGGACTGAAAAATGTCCTCTACATGGTTGTGAAATGTTTCCATTTTAGGTTTCTATAGGGCTTGAACCTCTTTCTGACTTCCTACAGGACTGAAAAAATTGCTCTTTAAAGCTACACTGTGTCTATTCAATGTTGAACAGATGTCCCTTTCGTGGCTCTCTACAGGGACTGAAATTACAGCATCCCGTTAGCGATGGGGTGTTTAGCTATGAGGTCCTTTTCTTATTTTTACTCCCCCACCTCCCCCATCCCCAACCCCCTCTTAATTCAATACAAATATTTTTTTAAAATTGATAAAGTGTGAGGAAAAATATAAATAACTTACTTAATTGAAAGACTGAATTATTGAAAAAATTAATGGATATTATTTGTATACTTTATTTGCTGTGCTTTATGTACACTATGTCAATCAGTTTAAATGCCAGCAATAAACCCCTTTCATGGAGTTGTACGTAGATTTTGTGTTGGCCCTATAAACTGACCCCTATGTTAGAGTCATAGATTTTGTGTTGTCCTTATAAACTGACCCCTTCTTAGAGTCATAGATTTTGTGTTGGCCCTATAAACTGAACCCTTCTTAGAGTCATAGATTTTGTGTTGGCCCTATAAACTGAACCCTTCTTAGAGTCATAGATTTTGTGTTGGCCCTATAAACTGAACCCTTCTTAGAGTCATAGATTTTGTGAACCCGTCTTAGAGTCATAGATTTTGGGTTGGCCCTATAAACTGAACCCTTCTTAGAGTCATAGATTTTGTGTTGGCCCTATAAACTGAACCCTTCTTAGAGTCATAGATTTTGTGTTGGCCCTATAAACTGAACCCTTCTTAGAGTCATAAATTTTGTGAACCCGTCTTAGAGTCATAGATTTTGGGTTGGCCCTATAAACTGAACCCTTCTTAGAGTCATAGATTTTGTGAACCCGTCTTAGAGTCATAGATTTTGGGTTGGCCCTATAAACTGAACCCTTCTTAGAGTCATAGATTTTGTGAACCCGTCTTAGAGTCATAGATTTTGGGTTGGCCCTATAAACTGAACCCTTCTTAGAGTCATAGATTTTGTGAACCCGTCTTAGAGTCATAGATTTTGGGTTGGCCCTATAAACTGAACCCTTCTTAGAGTCATAGATTTTGTGAATCCGTCTTAGAGTCATAGATTTTGGGTTGGCCCTATAAACTGAACCCTTCTTAGAGTCATAGATTTTGTGAATCCGTCTTAGAGTCATAGATTTTGGGTTGGCCCTATAAACTGAACCCTTCTTAGAGTCATAGATTTTGTGAATCCATCTTAGAGTCATAGATTTTGGGTTGGCCTTATAAACTGAACCCTTCTTAGAGTCATAGATTTTGGGTTGGCCTTATAAACTGAACCCTTCTTAGAGTCATAGATTTTGTGAATCCGTCTTAGAGTCATAGATTTTGGGTTGGCCTTATAAACTGAACCCTTCTTAGAGTCATAGATTTTGTGTTGACCCTTTAAACTGACCCCTTCGTTAAGTCATAGGTTTTGCTTCACAAGTATGATCTAGAATAAATGTCGGTGAAGGATTGAACATCAATAAATGGCCAAGCAGATTTGAACCATTGTTTTATTGAATATTATTTTACAGGTGTGGACTTTGACGAGCAGGGTGTGATATTAACCACCAAGGGCCTTAAGATATGTACTTACCAGATACAAGAACTAGTGCTGGGTGCCCTTAATCAGGCCATCGCTGGAAATCTAGTCCGATCAGTGGATGTGCTTCGTGATACTTACACAGGTAGTTATTGATGTATATGTGTTGTATAATAACCAAATTTGATACTGTTGTTTTTTATGTATTAATTCCTAAATGATTTCATAAAAACCATAAAAAATATGAAAAAAAGGAAGGAATTATTTAGTAAGATAAGGATGTCTCTGGTGAGGCAGGGTTTGTTGGTAGCTATCTCTGTGAACACCATACTGAAGGCCTGAATCACACTAGCACAAGACTAACTACATTTTCACTCGGCTTCCTGAGATACTTGTCCTTAGTAGGACAACAACCCAGATATTAATTTGTGTTGAAATTTCTCTCCTAATATTTAGAGGTCAATCTAACATGTGAAATCCAATTTTGTTTGATAAATTATGAGCTGATGTCCCTGAAAAAGTTCGCTTTTATGTTGAATCTGCATTAAGCCAAATAAAACTTGAAGTTGTCATAGTGGAAAAACTCATCGCAAGACAATATTTTATTTGTTGGTAATTTTATTGAGGAATGATAACTGAGGATGGGCTTATTACTAGACATGGTTTAATATTGAAGGACTATTTTAATTTGTGACTATTGATCACATTTTGGGAAGAAAATTTCTTAATTTGGAGAGAAATTATTTTGGGGAGGAATTTAGCGATATTATGAAATATATCAAATTGGGAATGTGACCTTGATTATTAGTGAAACCTAAAGGATATATCCTGTTTACTGATAAACATAATTGTCCTACACAATGATCCAGCTAGTGAACTTTATCCTGAATGCATTGTATTTGATGTCTGTAGGAAGCTTGTTGATTTACAGGCCAGTGGGTAGTTATGAGATTGTAAACAGTACACTGACAGATGATATACAGTGTGACCTTCAACATTTTGACTGTATTGTTAATTGCATGGCCCATTGTTAATTTGACATTCCATAGGTTTCAGAGTTTTGGAAAAAGAACTCTCACATTGATCAAATTTGAGGATTTACCTGTTCAGGGCAAGAGATGAAAATATATCTTTGACTTGAAACTTTCAACAGCAACACAGAATATGCAACTGAGTGGGACTATCAAATGGATGGTTTACTTCCCAAGTCATTTCCTAGGGTTAGAGAGGCTATGTAGGTGTTTGTTACGGCAGAGGTAGTCAGAACGAGAGGCTATGTAGGTGTTTGTTACGGCAGAGGTAGTCAGAACGAGAGGCTATGTAGGTGTTTGTTACGGCAGAGGTAGTCAGAACGAGAGGCTATGTAGGTGTTTGTTACGGCAGAGGTAGTCAGAACGAGAGGCTATGTAGGTGTTTGTTACGGCAGAGGTAGTCAGAACGAGAGGCTGTGTAGGTGTTTGTTACGGCAGAGGTAGTCAGAACGAGAGGCTGTGTAGGTGTTTGTTACGGCAGAGGTAGTCAGAACGAGAGGCTGTGTAGGTGTTTGTTACGGCAGAGGTAGTCAGAACGAGAGGCTGTGTAGGTGTTTGTTAAGGCAGAGGTAGTCAGAACGAGAGGCTGTGTAGGTGTTTGTTACGGCAGAGGTAGTCAGAACGAGAGGCTGTGTAGGTGTTTGTTAAGGCAGAGGTAGTCAGAACGAGAGGCTGTGTAGGTGTTTGTTACGGCAGAGGTAGTCAGAACGAGAGGCTGTGTAGGTGTTTGTTACGACAGAGGTAGTCAGAACGAGAGGCTGTGTAGGTGTTTGTTACGGCAGAGGTAGTCAGAACGAGAGGCTGTGTAGGTGTTTGTTACGGCAGAGGTAGTCAGAACGAGAGGCTGTGTAGGTGTTTGTTAAGGCAGAGGTAGTCAGAACGAGAGGCTGTGTAGGTGTTGGTTAAGGCAGAGGTAGTCAGAACGAGAGGCTGTGTAGGTGTTTGTTAAGGCAGAGGTAGTCAGAACGAGAGGCTGTGTAGGTGTTTGTGTGTTGAGAACTTGTATCCTGTTATGATGGATTGTAGATAAATAGACAGGTGATAGTGTGATGGTGTTTCTTGTATAGAAAGCTACATGACACTAATTTTCCATTAATATTCTCAGAGTGTTGTCATCCTAGTGTTACATATAAACACATAGAGAGGTTATCCACCTGAAATCCTCACAATGTATATTTTATGTTTATGTAGATATTCTATAGTAAAACTGGCGATGCAAAACTTTTGTTCCATAACACTGATCAGAGAGACCTTTCATAGACTGCTGTTCCCAATAGCCAGAGATCAAGCGTTCAGCTTCATAACAAACATCTTCCACAGACAAGTTCTCAATAGACAGAAATCCTTCATAGACAGGTTCCCAATATAGAGAAATCCCGTATAGACAAGTTCTCAATAGACATAAAAGCCTTTATAGACAGGTTCTCAATAGACAGAAAGCCTTTATAGACAAGTTCTCAATAGACAGAAATCCTTTATAGAGAGGTTCTCAATACACAGAAAGCCTTTATAGACAAGTTCTCAATAGACAGAAATCCTTTAAAGACAGATATTCACAATAGACAGGAATTCTTTATAGAAAGGTTCACAATAGACAAATCCTTTATAGACAGGTTCCCAATATAGAGAAATCCTGTATAGACAAGTTCTCAATAGACATAAAAGCCTTTATAGACAGATTCTCAATAAACAGAAATCCTTTATAGAGAGGTTCTCAATACACAGAAATCCTGTATAGACAAGTTCTCAATAGACATAAAAGCCTTTATAGACAGGTTCTCAATAGATAGAAAGCCTTTATAGAGAGGTTCTCAGTACACATAAAAGCCTTTGAAGAAAGCTTCTCAATATAGAGAAATCCTTTATAAAAAGGTTCTCAATAGACATCCTGTATAGTAAGGTTCTCAATAGACAGAAAGCCTTTATAGACAGGTTCTCAATAGACAGAAAGCCTTTATAGACAAGTTTTAAATAGACAGAAATCCTTCATAGAGAGGTTCTCAATACACAGAAAGCCTTTATAGACAAGTTCTCAATAGACAGAAATCCTTTAAAGACAGATATTCACAATAGACAGGAATTCTTTATAGAAAGGTTCACAATAGACAGAAATCCTTTATAGACAGGTTCCCAATATAGAGAAATCCTGTATAGACAAGTTCTCAATAGACATAAAAGCCTTTATAGACAGGTTCTCAATAGACAGAAAGCCTTTATAGGGAGGTTCTCAATACACATAAAAGCCTTTGTAGAAAGCTTCTCAATATAGAGAAATCCTTTATAAAAAGGTTCTCAATAGACATCCTGTATAGTAAGGTTCTCAATAGACAGAAAGCCTTTATAGAGGGGTTCTCAATACACATAAAAGCCTTTGTAGAAAGCTTCTCAATATAGAGAAATCCTTTATAAACAGGTTCTCAATAGACATCCTGTATAGTAAGGTTCACAATAGACAGAAATCCTTTATAGACAGGTTCCCAATATAGAGAAATCCTGTATAGACAAGTTCTCAATAGACATAAAAGCCTTTATAGACAGGTTCTCAATAGACAGAAAGCCTTTATAGGGAGGTTCTCAATACACATAAAAGCCTTTGTAGAAAGCTTCTCAATATAGAGAAATCCTTTATAAAAAGGTTCTCAATAGACATCCTGTATAGTAAGGTTCTCAATAGACAGAAAGCCTTTATAGGGGGGTTCTCAATACACATAAAAGCCTTTGTAGAAAGCTTCTCAATATAGAGAAATCCTTTATAAACAGGTTCTCAATAGACATCCTGTATAGTAAGGTTCTCAATAGACAGAAAGCCTTTATAGAGGGGTTCTCAATACACATAAAAGTCTTTGTAGAAAGCTTCTCAATATAGAGAAATCCTTTATAAACAGGTTCTCAATAGACATCCTGTATAGTAAGGTTCTCAATAGACAGAAAGCCTTTATAGAGGGGTTCTCAATACACATAAAAGCCTTTGTAGAAAGCTTCTCAATATAGAGAAATCCTTTATAAACAGGTTCTCAATAGACATCCTGTATAGTAAGGTTCTCAATAGACAGAAATCCTCTATGGACAGAGGTTCTGTATTGGGTCACATATTTGTTTTACAATAATCAATATGACTTGGTGGACAAGTTATTCCAGTCAAACTTGCAGTCTTATTCAGAGTTTTGTCAGCTGTAGAGATTTCTACTCCCTCCCACTTCTAATTTGACAAGCATTGAATTCATTATTATTCATGACACGCTTATTCTTTTATTACATTGCATGAAATGTTTTTCACTAATTGTGATGTTTTTAATAGATAGATTCTTAAATTTGGAATAGTGTTAAAAATTGGGATGTAATATTCAATAAAACAAATAAAGTGTAAATACTACTGAACCTATAGATATACACGATAGTTTTAATTGTGGCCTTTAAGACTGTATGGATCACCTGATGGTATGATCTTGTCTTGGGTTAACAAACCCAGGTATCAACCTCATCCAAAGGCAATAACTGTATATTTCCAATGTATGGATTTTTCACTGTATGGATTTTCCACTGTATGGATTTTCCAATGTATGGATTTTCCACTGTATGGATTTTCCACTGTATGGATTTTCCAATGTATGGATTTTCCACTGTATGGATTTTTCACTGTATGGATTTTCCACTGTATGGATTTTCCAATGTATGGATTTTCCACTGTATGGATTTTCCAATGTATGGATTTTCCACTGTATGGATTTTCCAATGTATGGATTTTCTAATGTATATTGATATTAATAATTTCCTGTAAGGTTAGCTAAAAGTTTGTCTACACAATAAGATGGTTATTCCCGGGTCATTCCAGACTTGGCAGTCAAAGAAAAGTTTAATAAGTAAATCCTGTTGAAAGGTATAACATTGTACTCTTAAGGATGAATGTTAATGTGACTGTGAAACTTTCATCACAATAAAAAGGTATGTGCACACAGTATTGGTATACATCAGTGGGATAACTAGATACAAGTTTCTTTGTTTACCCTCTATATCTGAGTGTGTAATGTAATTCTCTAGATCATTGACTTCATCAGTACATGATATGAATTAAGTCTTGTCAAGTAATGGAATGAAACATTGAGAACGTATTTTG